GAGTCTGCTTCTCCCTCTGACCCTCCTCCCTCTCATGCTCTCTGTCTCTCTCTCTCTCAAATAAATAAATAAAATCTTTAAAAAAAAAAAAGAAAGGGAGGACAAAAGGATTATAGTAATGCAACCTTTACCAACAACTTATTTCTCATAATAAAGGAGAGGAGTTGGGGAGAATTACAAACTAGTATTATTGAGGTTCTCCTGTGTTGCAAATCTACTGCATTTGCTGACTGTGCTTGGAAAGAATTAGGAGTATATCTTTTGATATTAGTATTAATTCTGAGATTTGGCATTATTTCCAAGGAATCTTCTTCTTAATCTGGCTTATATGATATAGACCCCTATGTTTTGTTTTGGGTTTGTTTTTTTTTTACCCCTATGCTAATGAAACTTTTGTATATTTGCAGAGCTCTAGATGTTCTGAAGTACGAAGAAGTTGACATGAAGTTGTTAGCCAAGGCTGTTCCAGAGCCCTTGAAGAAGTACATTAAATGTAGAGAGCTAGCTGAAAGACTGAAAATAGAAGGTAGAAAATAATTTTTTACTTACATGCCTATACATTCTCTTTTCCATTTGTGCAAATTATGAATGGATAGCAGATTCATTGAGAAAGAGCTCTATGTTAAGAGGAGCTATTATTACCATAGAACCAGCATAGTCTTAGGCTCTGTGCTATTCAGAGTGGGGTTCCCAGGCTAGCAGCATTGCAACACATGGGGGCTTGTTAGGATTACAGAATTTCACAGTCTTCCTCAGACCCACTGAATAAGCATCTTCATTTTAACAAGAACTCTGGGTAATTTGTGAGTACATTTCAAGTTTTGGGAAATGCTATAAGGTTTACCAAAAATAACCCCCCAAAACCAAAAAAACACAAAACTTTTTTTCCTTAAACTTTCTTTTACATTTTCCTCATCTAGTGTTCTAACGATGAGAAAAATAATACTGTCTTTGCTTTAACAATATACCGGCATACGGGCATCTGGGTGGCTCAGTCGGTTGAGCATCTGACTCTTGTTTTCAGTTCAGATCATGATCTCAGGGTGGTGAGATCGACCCGTGTCAGGCTCTGCACTCAGCGTGGAGTCTGCTTCAGATTCTTTCTCCCTCCAGCTCTCTCTCTCCTCTCAAATGAATAAAATCTTAAAAACAACAACAACAACAATAATATACTGGAATACTCTACCATGAAAATACTTATTTTGCATCAGGCAAATCTGAGCCTGCCCCTGGTACATTGTAACATATATCGTGCTCTCATACTCTTGGTCAGTGTACTGACCATCAATGCTATGGATGACTTTGTAGTTGTACTCTATTTTTTTTAAGTTTTTCATTATGAAAAATTTCACACATAAAAAATAATATCAGCTTCTGCATTTTGATAGATGTTTTTTCCTGGAGTGGCAAATTATGTGGAGAAAAAGGCAGGGAACAGAAAGAGCTGGGGAGAAGGGTAGGAAAAGTTGGATAATGATGTATTGTTCAAATGGAAAAGGACTTTAAATTCCTTAGAGACCAGCCAAGGTTGTAAGAATGCTGCATTCCTTCTAGCAATGGCATTTCCTTTCAGTTCCAGAGAGATCTATCACTTTGCTATCCTTTGGCTATACATACAGGGTGACCCAAGTGCTACCTATCACCCACCATGCAAGTTGACAGAAGTCTAGCACCAAAGGGAAACTCAACAAAACTCTAGAATCATTATTCCAAATGACCAAACACTATACTTATACTAATGTATGAGAAATAATGTTGACAGGGATGCCTGGGTGGTTCAGTCAGTTAAGTGTCTACCTTTGGCTTAGGTCATGATCCTAGGGTCCTGGGATCGAGTCCCTCATTGGGCTCCTTGCTCAGCAGGGAGCCTGCTTCTCCCTCTGCCTGCCGCTCCCCCTGCTTGTGCTCTCTCTCTCTGACAAATAAAATCTTAAAAAAAAAAAAAAAAGAAAGAATGTTGACCTTTTATTTCAACATTGAACATTCAGACTGTTATCAGTGATTCTCAAATCAGTACATGGACCACCCCCCCCGCCACCAGATAGCAAGTTTCTTTCTTTTTTTAAAGATTTTATTTATTTGACAGACAGAGACATAGTGAGAGAGGGAACACAAGCAGAGCGGGGTGGGAGAGGGAGAAGCAGGCTCTCCGCTGAGCAGGGAGCCCGATGCGGGGCTCGATCCCAGGACCCTGGGATCATGACCTGAGCCGAAGGCAGACGCTTAACGACTGAGCCACCCAGGCGCCC